GGCGCTACAGCAAAGACCCTGGTTCCCTCTGGTCACGTGAACTCCTAAAAATTAGAGCAACAAGAGGTCCTAGGGGAGGGTGGTTGAAATGTGATATGTTGTAATTTACAACTTCCGGTTAAATGTTGTGTTTGCAAGGCCCACCAAGGAGTGACTGTAAAGCTATGAGAAGTGACTTCAACTGTAATATGCAAAAACATTCAAAATGTATTATTTTTCTTATTTGTCTGCAGTTTTCTATTATAAATATTTTGTATACAAACACTATTTTGAAGCTCAAGCAGGTTATTTGCTTGGAAAAGCTGTCCTTTGGCGTGTATATACTGGCAATTTTTCCAACCGGTAATATCATGGCGAGTCGCTGATTTACCAGCTTTTTCCTTTGATGTTTTTCGCTAAAATAGCGTTAGAAGAACGTCCAACTCATGGCGTTTGTGTAAATGAGTAATGCTGCTCGTTACAGTATATCGCGAACGTGCCTTTGATAAACAATCCAGCTCGAAAATTATGTGCGATAAAACTCAGAGATCAGCCATTAAAATGTCACAACGAAGAGATTGATTGCGATGTAGCTGAACTTGACCAAAAGACAAAACCAATTCTACATGTTATTTTTCAATCATCCATTATATTGTCATGTCAATTTTGTTCACTTTATGCCAAACGTAGTATATTGTGTGTTGTATTTCATAACGTACCTGCAGTCGTTATTGCATGACTGCTACAGCATATAAACTTCACCGAAGGCACATAAAAGAATCACTTGTCTTGCATAATTAATTGCTTTGAGTTGGTTGCAAATTCTGACCGAAAGAATATCTTTTACGAAAAAGCATTCAGATACAGGCACTGATTTTGATGCCTTGTAGGACATTTGCAGACCAATATACTGTGGTGTATGCAAAACACAATGTTTATGTGTTGAGTGTAGTTTAGATATGGAAAGGGTATGATTTTACCTGATTAGACAATATTTTTGGGCCTGTGAAATATTCTTGACTTTGTACCAAATGTATACACAATTAATCACAAATGTGAATTTTGTTGAACTCAGTTTTTTTAAAGTGGGCACATGTTGCACTATGTTCACACTCTTTTATATATATGTTATCATTTGCATATATAAACTCAATTTACTTCATGGACAGTACAAAAGCCCATCAGAACAAAATTCTAAATTGAATATACTGTATATATGTATATATACAGTATACTGTAACCATACAGCTATTTCAGTTAAAGTTGTCACAGACAATAGTCAGATGTACAATAATATGAGTGCTAAATGAATAATGGAATAATGATAGTTTTCAATAAGTTTCAAAAAACTCATTAATAATCCTGAATTATTAATGAGTAAAGCGTGTCGTGGTTTTATATGTGATAAAAAATCATGTTAATTTACATAATCTTTAGCTTTGATTTTCTCGGCTTAGACAAAGTTCATTTTAAAAATTACTTCGCCAATGAACTCGTATAAGATGAGTCGTTTTTGAAGCCATTTAAAGCGCTTGTAATCGTGTTTTATCACCGCATAAAACACGACGCGTATAATCACACTCCGCTACGCGTCGTGTTTTATATGTGATAAAACTCCTACGCGTGCTTTAAATAGTACTTAATACCTCAAATATATTATGAAAACCGATTTAAGTTGTATTCCCATCAGATTATTGATGTGTTAAAATGGTATCTTTTTTAGTATTCAATTGTACATTTAACTAGTATTGTCTGTGACACTAACCTTAATCGGAATAGCTGCATGCATTATAATATAGGACAAGTGCAAATTGTGCATCTATTATCCTTTCAAGCTAGCCTAGGGTGGCCTTGGTAGCCTGTGCTACAGCCATACAAATAGTCATTGTTGCTTATTCGTTCAAGTGTTACAGTATTCACAGTCATAATTCCTCTTAATCTTCTGATGTGTCCACTGCATGGTACGTGCTTGGTGAATGTTGCTTTTGCGTTTGTCTAGCTAGTCATCAAATGCAGCGACAATTGTGAAGAAATCTTCATGCCGGTGATCATATACCGTATTGTTGATTGGAAATTGTTTCAATTCCAAGAGATCACATAAAATAATATTTTCTCTGAAGATTTGTGCTTGTAAGAGGATGCCTTCTTGACTTAATTCCTACAGCTATGTCGAAGTTGTTTATCATTTCTGCAGATCGATATTCCTCCACGGCTCCAGTCGCTCTGCTTTAATATTAAACGTTCGATTGACTTCACTGTCTTGGGTGTTTTTTTTGGCCCCCATTCTTTTAATTTAATGTTAATTTAGGAAGATTAGAAAATCGGTCATCACACGCGCAAGAGTTCCAGAATTCACAAATTCTGCGATACGATGCAAGTTTTTATTTCGTTATTCAGGTAGCTCTAAGAATAGGTTGTTGTAATGCTTCTTGTCGATAATACTACCACAAAGGCGACACTTGCATTCAGTCTCTTATACTATATATTTATCAATATATAGTAATTATGTTTGCCTACAGCTACGTAAAGTTGATAAGCTTAATTACATTTATTTTTTATTTCACTGACATAAAATCTTGACGATGTCAATCAAAATACATGAAGAGAAATCCGAAGCATTCAATCATCCCAAAGTCTAAATTAATGCATAGGATTATGATGATTATATCTACCATTATAAAATTCAACACAACCTAGAACTTGGCCTCTAGATTCAGTCAAATTTTTGGAGCAATCATGGAATATAGTTGAAGTTTTACTATTTTAAACGCAAATATCAACAACAAACTGTTCAAAGCTAAAGGCTACTTGTGGAAACCAGACCTAGTTTAGTAATCGAAGCTCGAAAACACACTGGAAGCGGCTGTAAATATAAAAAGTAGAGCGTAGATTACGGTATATATATAGGGAATAAAATATACTAACCTTTCTTATATAGAGTTGAAATCTTCACTTAATCGCCGTTTCATCTTTGAAAATTAACTCGTTTCGGCACAGATATAAAGCCATTTTGGATTTCGAATGATTTTTTTTTTCACTCAGCACACTGGTCATATTTACAATAATTTCGGGCTAAAATCCTCGGATACCTTTGAAAAACCACGAAACCATCTTCATTGTGTCTTGCATCATACTTTTGAATTGTTTTAGCCACAAATGGTAAAGTTTTTTTCAGGTTTTTGAAGCAAGAACTGCGGCTTCTTGTTCGAAAGCTCTTTATGTTTTGAATTCGCGCCTTTACGGATAAAAGCTGCGACGTGATTGGTCATTTTTCCCGCCCAAACTTCCAGCCTGCAGATCGGGTGAAAATAATGCGGATTGATCGAAGGTGGGTTGGGGGGGGGGTGGTTGTTGAAAAGCCACAAAAGTTTCAGAAATATATAACTATATATTAGATACGTTGGAAAAAAGTATAATAAATAATAAATAATAAATATAAAAAGTATAATGAATAATTTTTGAATCTACGAAGTAGATTATATGCTATCGAATTGTTAGCTGTTCACTGTTCACTGTTAAGTTAGCCAATCAGCGACCAGTATTACCAAAAATTACGTAATTACAAATCACGGCTTGGTCGCGAGACAATCCAATATGGCGGTAAAGAGGGGGTTATAATTTATGATTTATATTTATTCACGCATTGAAATATGCCAACTTGTGGATGAAAATAGATCGAATCAAGAACTACGTGTCTGTGTTTTGTAGCAGCATGATTGCTGTACACTTTTCAGAAATTTACGAAAT